AAACAGACGACAGACGGAAACGAGAGATCTATTGCATTGTGCCTGGGATATAAAAAAAAAATGTCTTCTCTACCAGTTGTAGTTATTATGACAATAGAAGGCATCTGGATTTATGAAAAAAGCGGCAAGGTTAAGACGCTGCAGTTAGCGTGACTGATTTCAAATTTCGAAGATTTTGATTCTAAAAATGGGTACTGACTGACGTAAAATGGTTATCAAGCGAAGTTCATTTAATACGAGTAGTAAATGTTTAGAGTATCATGTTTTTAAAATCTTCAAAAGCAGCGACTGGTATTGAGATGCAGTGAAATTACATGGCGTAAGAACTGGATTGAAAGTTAAACAAGTAAAAGGTGTTTTTGGTATGTACTTAGTGGAGAAATCAAAAATATTTCTAAGATAATAACATTTTGGTGGAAAAAAAAACAAATATGAAGTGCTTTTCAAAAAAGGATACTTTCAAACATTTTATATGTATGTTGTGAATATGGTATAGATGGTAAAACTCTAACTAAATTTTCTCTAATCATCCCCACCAGCAATGCGGTGACCATTTTAAATTTTAAACAATAACATGTGTAGTCTATGAATCTGTGCTGAGTTTTTACTCTAAACATCTAGATTTTTGAGCAAAAATCAAAATTGTGTAACAATACATTGCAATTTAACTTTGAAATTTTAAAACCGAATGCTGTGAAATCTCGCAAACATTTTAAGGTTATTAGAGGTATGGTAATTCGTTAATCAAAATTTATCCGTTTATGAACCATCCCAAAAATGATGACGTCATCTTATAATTTTGTCAAATAAATCTTCCTCAAATTTCTGAGTGAAATATTCCTAAAAATATAACAAACGCATAAAAACTATATATGTAAATAGTAAATAAGAACACCTTTTTACAGTGTAAACGCAGTACGAAACAATAAGTCTCCCGTTTCCGTCTGTCTGCCTATCTGTCTGTCTGTCTGTCTGTCGTCTGTCTGGATTTTTATATAATCTCCGAAACTATTGAACCAGTGGACGACATCTCCAAAATTTACAATAATAAATATTATTTAAATTTTATAAAATAAGATCTCCACATGTGGTTTATGAACCCCTGTTAAGTTTTTATTCTAGATATCCAGATTTTTGGAGAAAAAATCAAAATATCTTGGAATTTAACTTTGGAACTGCAAAACCGAATGCTCTGAAATTTTGCAAACGTTTTAAGGTTATCGTAAACATAAGTAAACAGTTGATTCAATTTTTTTCGTTTATGACCCTCTGAAACAATAATGATATCATTATTGTTTATTTTACCAAATATAAATTTTGGTGATTCCAAAAGCATTGTTTGTTATTTCAAATCCAATTCTCATCTGAATGACTCTGAATTGGATTGTCGGACGTTTTAGATGACTTTTCTAAATTGAAATCAGTAAAATAGTACGTTTCACCCCACATTTTTTTTTTCTTCTATTTAAGATTTTTTTTTCATCTATTTTAAGGTACTGTGTAATTTTTTTAAGCAAGCAGCCCAATTTTGACGTTGAAGTTTTTTATTGTTTTTTTATAAAATAAAAAAAGGCAATTTTTGTCGCGAGGTATTTTAAACGCATTTTTTAACATTTCGCCCCATCTTTAAGATTATTTTAAAAAAGTTGTGAATTTCAAAAGATTTTGACCATCATTCCAGCGGATCCATATAGAAACTACTGACTGAGATTTTTACAAAAAATAAAAAACCTCTTCAACGTCAAAATTGGCATCTTTTCTTAAAAAGAAAAAGATAAATCACCATGTAGTAAATAAAAAACAAAATGTGTGGTGAAACGAACCATTTTACTTAATACTAATTTGCCCTTTTTTTGGCATAACATATACTTAATTTTTTTAATTTTATAGGATTGCATACTCCTGCATGTGTGATTCATGAATCCGTTTCGAGTTTTCACCCTAGACATCCAAAATTTTTAAATTTTTGAGAAAAAATCAAAATTGTATAAAAACATTTTACAATTTAACTTTGCAATTGTAAAACTGAATACTTTGATAACTTGCAAACTTTTTAAGATTATCCTAAGCATGGTAAATCATTAATAACAATTGTTTCGTTTATACACGTCATTGTATAATTTTGCAGAACAAATGTTCCTTAAATTTTATAGAATTACATACTTCATGTATGTATAATTTAGAATCCGTGTTAGACATGGAGATTTTTGGGGAAAAATTCAAAATTGTATTTTACAATTTAATTTAAGATGGCAAAAGCGAATGTACTGAAATATTCCAAACGTCTTAAGGTTATAGAAAAAGTGATAAATCGTTAATCAAAATTTGTTAGATAAAGGCCTTGTCAAAAAATTATGACGTCATCTTAGAATTCTACCGAATAAATCTTCTTCAAATTTTATAAAATAACAATATATAAAAAAATCAACATTGTATAACAAAATTTTACAATTCTGAAATTGCAAAAACCGAATGCTGTGAAATCATGCAGATATTTTAAGATTACTTTGTGTCCTTTCCTCTGTGTTGAGGACACAAAATCAACCAAATTTTATTTTAGTTTAACCGCTGATAGTTGTACTCTGAACATACTAAAAGTCGAATTCGGTCGAATTATAAACATAAACAGTCGAAGTTAAGCATATACTGAGAAATTGAGAATATTTACATTTTTCCCGCCAGTTGTTTGCTCTAGATATATTTCATATTTAAAGACTCATAAGTTGCGGCGATGTTAATTACGCCATTTTATAAAGGTTAACAGTTATCACAAAACGGAAATCGCAAAATCTAATTTTATAATTTTTTAAAAAAGCGGAATTTGTCGGACTATACTTCAAAGACGAGGGAAGTTCTATCAAAATAACATTCCAATCTGAACGTGCTAATAGCCGAAAACTATCGGAGTAAAGCATAAACAATTGAAGTTAAGCGTGTACTGAGACACTGAGGATACATTTTTCCCGTTGAAAGTTGAATGACTAATTACTCTACGTATATGATTTTTTTGTCGAAATATTTATACACTTTATTGCGTGAAATGTTGTGAAGGTTTTAAATATATCTTAGTTTTCACAATTTTGACTCCATGTTTGAGCTCAACATGCCATTAAACTTGGGTTTTCTGTACTTGATTTCCGTTTCAATAATGACTGAACAAAAGTACCATTTCTTGTTCATAACTTTTGTTTAAAAAAAATGTAGAGTATGTATTTAAAACTCAAAGTGATTTTGCTCATTTTGCGATCTTGGAAACCGTAAAAGATATGCAGTCATTTAATTAGAAGAAAGTTGCGCAAATTGGTGCTAATCAGTATTAATGGGCCAAGAAAACTGGGATACCGTTGCAAAAAAACTGATGTGGGTGGGTTTTTAAAGTAATTAAATAACTTCTTTATTTTAACACTTGTACAAATTATTCTGCAATTATTTAGTAAACATTTTCCAACTCCATTTACACAGTTTTAAATAAAAGAAAAACAGTAATTGTTCATGTTTAAAAAAGAAGGTTGCACTTAATTTACATTTTATTTTTATATCATGCTGAAAAAATAAGTAATTTTGTGCAATTTACTCTGTTAACAACTAGGCTAAGAGTAAAATTATTCTAATAAAGTGGTGTGAATTGTAATTATAGTGTATATTAACAAGTTTGTGCTTTGAATTTTAAACAAATTTATTATAATAAGATTATACATAACTAAATACGTATATGGCAAAACTCATACTATGTAAAAATACTAGAATAAATCGTGTAAATCAGTTCAGGGTGTGTTATCTTTTAGTGCTTCATTTTACGAATGAATAAATAAATAAATGTCTTGTATATGTCTATGTACCGACGCAATAAAAAATCATGACTTTCAGAGTCATAAATTATCTTCAGAATTGGTTAACAGTTAATTCAAATCAATAAATAAATGCATAGAATTCGTTAGTACAAACAATGTTTATTAAAAGTGTATGCAAAAATAGGCTGTATTGTACACCAAAACCTATAGTAAATGTAGTTTTTGCAGTGAATACGAATTTTAAAAGTTTGACGTCACACTGACATGTTAAAAGTACATCTCTGGCGTGGGCTTCTACCTGTTACTAGTACAGTGTCATTTAAATACGTTCTGTTTACATATTTATTACCATCTTGGAGTTCACAGGTCACAAAAATTTATGGAATTTCTTGGACTACTTTATCAACTGAATTCGATATGCATTATTTCATTTAAAATTTTTTCTTTCTATAGAAAATTTTGTCTAATTTCGAATCTCTCATCTGTGCAGTGCATATTTTATAAGAACAGTTTAATATTTTTTGTACAATAACATTATTTCAGTTCTCAGCAATAAATTAAGTTTATATTGGTGTTAATTTGATATAATCTGAAGTTGCGTTTCTGTTATGTCTATTTCAGTTTTAAAGAATTATTGACGGTGAAGTAGTATACTACAAGAACTAAGTAGTTTTCAGTGTATTTTTTTGATGTTTAACATAAATAGTTTCAAAATGGTTAATTTTTCTTTTTTTTTTGGATAATTAGCAATCACTAAAATGCTTCTTTTATAAATACACAGTTAATATTTTTTCACGTTGATATTATTATTAAATAGAATGGAAATGTTTAATTAAGTTCTTTTGAAGATGTCGTTTCGTACTGCTACGCCACTCAATACCGTAGAAGCCCCATTGTATCAAGCCCCAATTCAAACCACTGATGAGCTTCATTATAAAATCCACTACTTACTCGTAATGAAAAGAATTTAAACCTAATTCGATTCATTTTCGATCTGGGTCAAAATCTAAACCCATTAACGGTATCCCAAAAACGCAAACCGAAAACAGATAAAAATTACAAAACGTTTACGTTTATAACTGATCCTACTGCTCCCGACTTACAGCAGAAGCAAAATTACAATTACATCGTTTGCGACCGTTATCGGACCGCAACCTAAAAATGCGGCAAAAGCCACTAAAGTGTTAGTTTTGAGAGATCCGGACTCACCGTTGCTTAAAAGAGTAACTCCCAAAGTTACAATGAGGGGTAAATTGCACATAAATTTTCGGGGTTTCAAACCCCTACACTGACACTCGAGCATCGCGCGGACCGCCGAAGAACTGTTAACACACGGCTGTTGCACCTGTCAGCTCACCGGCAACACTGACTCCAAGAAGCTGAAGACTGGTGCTCCGGAATCAGGCCGACCGACTTTGCGGCGAAGAATTAGCGCCTCGACCAAGGCGAAGATGGGCGGCAAGGTGGGATCAGCGACGCTGCTGTAAATAATCGATTAATCATCGGAGTTGCGAAATAAGGATACGGATTTACAGGAAATTTGAAAAAATTTACGTCGGAGGAAAGCTCAAGTAAGAGGAAATTCTGGTAGTGTGGTTGGAAGTGGTCCGAAAGTGTTAGGCGCGGTGGCGGTGGAAGCTATAAGTGCTTTAAGTACTCGTACAGGATTCAATTAATGTGATTTTTCACTTGTTTAGAATTTTAGCAAAAAACATAAGAACTATAAAAATGCTTTTTGTATGGTTATTGAAACAGGCGCACAATGAGACAAACATCGTTTTTTAACATTAAAATTATTTGCATTAACAGTGTAAAGAAAATTAACAACAATGTTATTTTCCAGACAAACAGTACAAAAACTGATACAGTTGATGTAGAATCGGTGCCTAAACCATCCGTACTAAACTACTAAACTACTATAATAATTTATTCCGTCAACACGCCACTCGATTGTGGATAATATTTCAGCATTGTCATGACAGCATAACTAAAGTTGATTGAAGCAAATATCTGTGAAGAAGGTAATCTATATTTGTATTACAAAATTTTCAGAAAAAAAAAACACACACACAACAACTAAAATAGGCTAAAGTTTTCGCACCTTTTTGTAATGCAATTTATCAACTTTTAGGTAAAGCTCAAATTAATTTTTTATGTCTGTGACATTAATCAAAAAGTTACGGTGTCCTAGAATTTAACATCTTAAGAAATTTAATTATTCACTGCCTTCATTACTGCCTCGAAGTAAACGACAAGTTCTTTGAGCACCTGCTATGAAATAAAAGCTGTGTTGATTAGTTGATTTTAATTATGTACTTATTTTAATTAATTGAATGCAGAATAAACTGTTTTCTTTATTCAGAATCAATACTTATTAGCGTAGGGCCATTTCAAATTGCTTGAAACAGCTTGAAATTATATATAAAACAAAAATGTCGCAAATACTTGATCAGTTCCATAATTTTGGTCTTCCCTGTACAGTTCTGTCTTTTTATAACAAAAATTGGTCGAAGGTTATTTCGAGAGAACCTTTCTCGCGCTTGAAGTATAATCCTACAAATCCCATTTCTTTAAAAAATTATAAAATTTGATTTTGCGATTTTCGTTTTTGTGATAACCTCTATAAAATAAAAACTAGTCGCATAAATAACACTCTGCGCCAAGAAAGAATTTGCACTCCCAAGTACGGACAATGTAAAATATAATAAAAAAAAAACGAAACAAAAAATGTCCTCTCATCACTAATAGCAAGCTTAAGTTCAAGTGTTTATGTTTATACATCGAAAAAATGTCATGTTGAAATTAGTTTGATTTAAATGAGAAAATGAGTTTGTCTCCTTACAACAGAGGCGTGCGTATTCTACCTTTGCGAGAAAATGGGGTGACTCGTGCTTAATTTGTGAATACGTCGTCAACATAGATAATACTAGCCAGCACAAAAGAAAAAAAATCGGCTAAGTTTGGCATTGAACGTGCGACCGCCGGTCCGCATGCTGAGCTGATACCTTTGCCGCAACCCCACAAACGGTTATATCGTCAGTTAGTGGTAAACTACTATTATTGTACGACGAAAGATATTTGCAAATGACTCCAATTATGAGAATTGCAGCTGTAAAATTTCCGACCACTTCGGAAAGTGCACCCAGCATAAACGTGTCCATCAAGATTACTCGCCACCCTTACCTTTTCAGGACCGTATTTGTTTCAATACGTGAACAGGTAGATTGTTATTTTAAACGGACCGCTTTCAAGGAATTTAATCTTAAAATTTAAGGACACATGAAAGTGTGGTTGTTAAAACTTTTTAAATCTTTGCAAATACATATTTCCTAGAAAAATCCCAATAAAAATTAACTCTACCATGATTCAAATATGAACGTTCCAAAATTTGAAGTCCGGCTCTGCCTGAAATCGTACCTCCGTTGCGAAGGGTTCGTAAGGTTTTATTGCAGGTTGCGGTCTAAAGTACTAAAGACCCCTCATACAGTAATTGACGGCGTTTGCAATTATCTTTGGTAGTACTTTACACTGTTTTAATTTTTTTGAGCAAATTTTGGCGGATTCGTACACCACAAGCATAGGAGCATATTGTAATGCGTACAGCATTTAAATAATTTAATTTTAAGATAGAATTCTTTAAGATGACGTTATCAAATTGTTGGTGGGGATGATTAGCCAAATTTTGGTTAACGTTTAACCATCTGCATGATATTCCTAATAGGTATACTTATAAAATTTATAACAAACGGTCTAATAGTTTCGGAGATTACGTGCCTAATAAAAATCGACACAGACGCCAAACAGACTGACAGATAGACGGAAACTGGAGATCACTTTTTTCGTACTGTAGGGATCATGAAAAGTCGAGAAAACATTGATGGACTAAATTATTATACTTCTTTGTTTACGCTCGGGAAGTAAAAATAAAAGGATTTACCAAAGTTTATTCAGACGACCCAGTGAGTTACCAAGGTTTCAAAGAAATTCGTTAGATATTTTCTAAAACAATCCGCAAAAAATTATTAAAATATTGAATTATACAGATTAATGGACATCTTGATCCTACACTATTTAAACTTAGAATCGACGTCATTATTTTTAGGGTAGGGGGGGGGGGGGAAGAATTAACAAATACATTTTGTTAGTGATCTATAAGGGAAGAAGCCTTTAAAAGGTTGCACCAAACTTTTTAAAATATTAAACGTCAAATTTGAAGAATTAACTTGGCAATTTAGATTTCTTAATGAACTGCATGTCTACTAGACAGTTAAATAATTTGCTAAAATACGACTCACAAGTTAATTTTTCAGTATTTTCAAAAATTTTGTTCATTGATTTTTAAACATTTTTTTGAGTTTTTCAGAGCCTTTTTATCAGCATACCATCGAGCGTTTCCGTCATTTTTGGATTAGCCTGTATACTAATACGACAGTAGACGAATTTAGTAAAAACTAAAGGGTAAAAAAAAATAATAAAAATACGTTGTTCAAAAGATAGACACTGTACCTCAGGGCATGTTTTTTACAAATTTATTTATTTAATAATATTTTGAAATGAGGTTATCAAGGTTCTAAAAGGAAAACGTTGATAATTTTAGTCGTTGTTCTATAGCCATTAGATCAAGTTATTGTCGTACTATGATGTCAAATAGGGCCCTTCTTTATGTTCTAAAACAAACTCTAAAACTTTATAGCATTGTAGTATTTTTTTTTACAATAACTATATGCGTAATGTTAAAAATGTAAAGAGCCAAACTTTATACAAGAACTAAGAAATAGAATTAAAAAATAAAAAATATGAGAAAAAAACTATCAAATAAAAAAATTTGAACTGGTGCAACAAACCACAATACTGAAATGTTGTGACTTATTACATCCATTTTTACGTGTTGAAAATTTTTATTTAATAATTCTTACTTCTTAGTTCTTACTTCTGACTTCTTACTTCTTATTCCCATTTGTCACCTTTCGCTTCTCAATACTCATTTCTCATTCCACCTTCCTCATTTCTCATTGCTCATTCCTCATTCCTCATTTCTCTTTCCTCATTCCTCATTCCTCATTTCTTATATCTTGCATTGTGTTTGGGGTTTTAATTTTAAACGAAACAGACAAATTTTTGCTAATATTTTACCGTCTAAGCACGATTCCCAAAGTGAAGTTCAAGCTCTCATACTGATGGTATAAAATGATGATGCAATTTGAATTTTTTCTGTTAAAATTTATATGCCTAAGGTAAAAACTCGAGGCGCAATCATAAACTACATGTACAAGAGTGTAATTTTATATAACTTAAATGGCGTTTACTCAGAAATTTTGAAGGGACGTCACCAAATTTTTGCTGAGCATGGTTAAAGAAAGTTTGGTTAGCGTTTTACCATCTACACCACACTCCTAAAATACATATAATTGCCTAATAAAAATCGACACAAACGACAGACATACAGACGGAAACGAGTGACCACTTTTTGCGCACTGTAGAAATCATGAAACATCGAGAAAACATTCGTTAAACTAAAGATTGATCAGACAACTCTGTTGTGAAAATGACAAGGAATTTAAGCGGATCCTGGGTTTCAAAAAGTGACTGTTTGACACGATTTTGTGCACTTCACAATTCAGTCATATTTAAGAAATTCATGGAAATAATTTGCAACTCCAAAGTGATGAGATGAATTTAATAAAAATAAAATATCTCGATTATTATTTATGGAGATTTCGGAACGCGGTTATCAACACTTGTGTCCAGAAGGTGCTAGAAGCTTTTTTGTCCATTTTCAACGAAAAAAGTTGACAATGTATGTGGTACGATTTCTAAAGTTTCGTAAGCTGAAAGCAGTGGTGGAAACCATATTCCGAAATTTCCATAAATAATTGAGATATTGATTTTGAAAATCCTTGATGCAAAAGTTTCGATACAACTAAAAAAAAAAAAAAAAATGAAAATAAACTGTAAAAAAATCCGCTCACATTATATGGTGGAAGTTGTGGACAGATTATATTTAAAATTTTATAACAATAAGTCTGAAGAAATTAGAGACCTAAATATTATACAAATAAAGAAAAGGAGATAAAAAAAAAAGAAAAAAACCCTTCTTAATACAAACAATTAAGTTGATTAAATTAATTATTAGGGCATATTCCATATTTGCCTACAATATTATTGATAATATTTTGAAATTTATCATTAAAGTCACACTTTTTGATATTTTATTATGTATCCTACACATCGAGATTAGTGGTACTTTCATGAGCATGTTACTTCTATAAAGCTGACAATAAAAAGCAGATTGGTGACGAATATTAGACCTAGGCACTAAGAAGTTTAATTTACTAATGCAGTCGATTTCATAATTTACCAAATTTAATAAAAAGATTCTATAAAAAAAATCAAAATCTTATAATCGTCTGCAAATG